AAAGACTTAGGAGTTCGTTTTACCTCTGGGCTCACGTTTCGTAATCATATAGTCGAGGTATGCAAGAAAGCATATCGAAATCTAGGATTTGTACTTAGAATGGTTAGAGGCTTCACAAATATGAGAGCTATAACGACACTATATAATGCTTTAGTAAGAAGCCAGCTTGAATGCAATGCAGTGATCTGGGCTCCACATGAAACTAAGTACAGTCTCATGCTTGAACGAGTACAGAATAAATTCATGAGATATAAGTATATGAGAGAGTTCGGGGTATATCCATTCTACCCATTAATGTATCCAACTCTGTTTGTCTTGGGTATGGTTGGATATAATGAACTACAGGTCAGGAGGCAACTCGCATTGGTGACTTATATCTTTAAAATAATTAGGGGGAAGATACACAATCCGGATATATTGCGAAGGGTTGAACTGGTCGTGCCCGATGGATACGTGAGTCGTCGTCGCCAGCCGCGGTTACTGGCAGAACCACGTTCGCGAACTAACTTGCTGCGGGAGGCACCGCTCACGTGTGCGCTTCGCACTCTGAACCTCATTGCTAATGACGTAGACATATTCTGTTGCTCTTTAGGGGAATTTACACGAGCAGCCATGCATAGGATTTGCTATATGTAGTAAAAGCTTATTATATATTCTTTATCTTATTATATTTCTATAGAGTATATGGATATTTCTTGTTTGTATTTTGTTTATTATTGTTATTTTAATATTTGCTGCAATATCGCATTGGGTCTAGCCTGTAAGGATATTTGTATGTTATGTGTGTAAATAAATAAAATAAAAATAAAAAAATAACTTTACGCCTGTCTTCCATGGGGGTAGGAAGAGACTATGGACCGCCAAGTGCTACGATTCCTACATACCTCTTTCGCTTCATCAACAGTCATCAATCTTTTCATGCATGCTCGTCGGTTAAGGGTACTTTTAATTTGGCCCTTCTTTAATATATCGCCAATCTGGTCACTATATGTCCGTCTAGGGCGTCCTCTACGGACGGGCCCGTTCATATCCGCTCTGTATACTTCTTTCGTTACTCTACTTTCATCCATCCTTTCTACATGTCCAAACCAGCGTAACATTCCGTTTTCAATCCTTGTAACTACATCATCTATCAATCCACAGTTTTCTCTAATAACACTATTTTTCACTCGATAACTTAATTTTAGTCCAAACATACTTCTCAGGGCTCTCATTTCCAGGGTGGAAATGTCCACCGCATCAATTCTGCTTTCATGCTTCTTCTGCCACACCCATGATTCACATATGAGCGTTGGTCAATACACACTGTATTACAGCAAGTCGAGCTTTGCTGGATATTATTTTACTCGATATTACAGAGTGTAATGCACTATTAACACTATTTCCCGCTTTCACTCTCCTTTCAATATCCCCGTCACACTTTCCATCTCTCGTAAATAGTGATCCCAGATAAAAAAAAATCATTCACTTGTTCCAATTTTTCATCACCTATCATTCCCTGACATTCTGTTATCACCTCATTTCTTTCTATCGCGAACACTTTCGTCTTGTTCACATTTACTTTCATACCTTTCTTTTTACCGACTTCAAAAAAAGGAGGAGGTACTATGTTCGGCTGATTGTTTTTTTTTTAAATGCATCATTCATAGCAGTGATCATTCGTTGTAATTCTTCGGTCGACGAGGGAACAAGAACCTGGTCGCCGGCATACAACAATGTTTTAATCACTGTGTCATTCATCCTTAATCCAGACTCTCCTACTTTCAGATCGTTCAAACAGCTGTCCATAAACAAGTTCAACAGCCAAGGAGATGCTATAAAGCCTTGCCTAACACCTTGATCAATGTTAAACCACTCTGTATAGTCCCC